TCAGGCACTTCGCTCCGGAGCTGGTCAGACCCTAGGGCAAAGGAAACAGTCTACGAAATCAAGTTCTGGTCACTTACACCACGGGGTGGAATGGCAAGGGCATCACTCCAGACAGACACCTGTTCCTCCATGGTTAAGCTCTAGACTAGGGGAAGAGGGTGTGCCAGTTTTAGGCACCATTTGCGGGGCATCTGGCCCATCTGCCCGAATAAGAAGACCCAAAGAGAACACGCCCATCTGACCTATTCACATCAAGTTTGCTGTACAGCTGCAAGTCAGTAGCCTATAATCATGACCTCTGGATAACCCCAAGAGGCTCGTTAGGGGTGCAGAGCTATACACCCTTGCTGTTTACCTGATTTTGAGGCTTCTGCAGAAAGTCTGACTTTCCAGTGTCTGAAGTTAAACAAGGAGCCCGTGGTGGCTTCCCAGCCTCGGAACTGTGTGGTAACAAATGTGTGAGCTGCTAAGCAGCAGGTCGGACACGGAGAAGGCTTTTCTAGGAACAGTGTGCCTCTGCTGTGTGCTGAGCCTTTTCCTATGACTTTTGCTAGTAGCCCTCCCCGCCTTTGGAGACAAGGCCTTGTGAAGCTCAGACCGTAATGCAGAGCGGAGGACAGCACTGAACCTCTGATCCTCCTGCCACCGCGGTACTGCACCTTCTTGTCCACGCTACGTAGTACGAAAATTAAACCTAGGCCCCGTGCATGCTAGGCAAGCACTCAAGCTCTGAGCTCATTCCCAGCCCAGGTCCTTTTGAACTAAACTCTACTGCTTCTGTTGGGCAGGGTGTGGGCACTCAGGAATACTTGAAGACAGGGTGGAGTTGAAGCTGAAAGGCTAGGACCTGGGGAAGAGGACACACCATACACCGTCTGTGAACACTGAACCCTGGATGTGTGAAGCAGCTGTGAATGCAGGCAGCCTCCTGTGGGCACAAACGGAACGCAGTCTCTTCTGCTTTGCTGTGTTCTGTCTGTGTTTTAATAAGCATGTGTAGTACTAGTTGTCTCCCTCAAACCCGCATTGTTAAAACTTCAGGATGGTCAGTGATGTTACATAATGGAATAGACACGTCAAACTTTGTGGACCAATGACACCTTTAAAATAATTGCACTAATAAGCCTGTAAAGTGAGAGACACCGACAACACCCACAAAGCTTGTGACCAAATAAGTCCCAATGTAAAATTATCTTTCATTTGAAAAATCACCAGCCTGCTTCTAGGCCACATCAGCTCAGGGGTCTGTTATCTTCACCATGACCACCAGAGGGCGCAATAACCCCACTCGAAAATCAAAACGGAGCTGCGGGGTAGTCTTTTGCATTTTAGTTGGTGGTGGTTTGGTTGGTTTGAGGGTCTTTGCTTTATTTCAGTCTTCAAGGAGGAAGAAATAATGCAAAGCAGAAAATGAACACCAGTAGTGTGTATTTTGATTATTTTTTTTTCATACCATTTTACTAGGCAGTTTGCTTTTATCTTTATCTTACAAGTCATCCTGGGGAAGAGGGAACAGGAGAAATAAGGCATGCCTCGTGTTTTCAGTTTAGTCAAAACAGATAGATGACAAAGAACAAAGCACAATGACAGGTAAAATATCAAGCCCACATTAACATCTTGCCCCAACACCATGCACTGTTGAACCCCGTTCCCACCATGCACAGAGCAGAACACGTGGTAGCTTAACCCCTATTTTTATTACAGGGTGCTGAAGGTCTCCATGGGGCATGCTTCCCTTCGGACTAAAGCTAAACAGACACCGATACAGAGCAATTAAGTTCCTATACAGCAAGGAATATGGAAAACTTTCTTTATAAAGGCAGAATCCTTTTCATGTACTGAAAAAAAAAAATCCTCATTTGAGGGGTTATGTGTGACAAAACCTGAGGCAGGCAGTTGCTTCCTACATGCAGCATTGAATCCCTCTTGTGGGTAAGTATACAAAAGGGCTTGATGGGAAATAAATTGGAAATCTCCTCCATGTATCCTGTTCTGCAAGCCGGAAGAAGAACTACATTCTAAAACTGCATTTGGACACAGAGCTCTTCAATAGAATGTGACTTTTGAATGCTCACCCTCTGTCCCCAAATGATTCCTATTGCTGTATCAAAATATTATCTTTCTTCCTTACAGAGAAGTCTGTGTCTGTAAAATTAAATATGGCTTCCATTGATAGAGTACCTCTCCTCAAAAGACTGGAGAATATTTTTCTTTTTATTTGTTTCCTCTCCGTGAAAATGTGGTCTGAAGTCTCCCTGAGGAAATGGGCATCGTTATAATAACAGGAGAAGAAACTGAGAATTGAGAACAAGAGGACTCACTCCTAACCACCATGTCTCTGATAACTGATGTAACCAGTCTCATCTCAAAAGGAAAAATAAGAAAATAAACATTTTTTTATTTCTTTATAGACTTCTTTCCTCTAGCTTTAAAGTCCTCACAGTGGTAACAACTAGTGTCTTTTATGAAGAGAATAAAAGAATCAACCAGGTCAAGCCCCAGTTCTCAGAAACCCAGTGGCAAGGCAGCAGGACCTTCAGGGAGAGACTTCCCACAGCAGGACCACTGGGATTTCAGCAAAAGCCATCACAGCCAGGTGTGCGAGCCAGGCGTGCAGAGCCCAGTGTGATGGGCACAGGAGCCTAGGCAGACCATTTGTTCCCCGGCAGGCTGTGTTCAGAGACCTGAAGTTCAAACTTAGATCCTAGCTCTGCCGCTTGGGGTTTTGAGCCGGGCATTTCACTATAGCCATGGCTCACGACCATCCCGCCTGATCAGCCTATGGCATGGCAGGATTTGGGAAAAGGGTTCCGGAACACACAATTTGTAAACTACAAAGTGCGTGAACATATAAGGCAGGGATTCACACTGAAATCTGACTCCAGACCCGACCTCTTTCTTGGCCCGTTGGAATCCTAGCAATTCGTTGCTCCAGGATCTTTCTGGGACTTCGATTCTAGTCTCTTATTAAAGCTATTGGCAAAAACTAAGAACTCTTACAGACAACAGACGTCCTCCCAATGCTAGAAGAGTGTGGATCCGTGTGTGTTAGCAGGGTCTCCACTGTGAGGGTCTGCCCCAGCGACTCACTGGGGTCTTTAGACAGGGAAAGACAGAAGTCCTCCTCCAAGCCCCAAGGAGGGGCAGGGGGTCCCCAGAGAAACCTCATCCTTCAGCAGGGCCACAGGATTGGAAAGATTTGTACTCCAAGATTTATCCTTGGTGTCCTGAGCAGCCATGGTTCTGGCACATTCCACAGAGGTCAAGGGTCTCCCCTGGGCTCCCACTAACTATCTATGATGCATTTCCCAGCAATTAGCTGGAGTCATTCTACGTTTCCCAGATCTCTTGAACCAGAGAAGAGACCAAGGGAGGGCTCATCATGGATTCTCCAGCACTGAGCATCTCAGGAAATGTCACCTGCCCTTCTGCCCACGTCCCTCTGTCCTCGCCCTCCTCTGGTGGCCACAGCTGAGGCTGGGTACCCACAGAGGCACCTCCTGCTTCCTAACTAAACCTAGCAGAGTTACAAAATCCCAATTTACAAAATCGGGAAGCAGGGAGTAGTTGATTCCTGTCCAGGAGGCCAGGACGCAGCTGACACTGGCTTGGGAATGCTCTGCAGGCTGCTTAGCTACCAACACAGAAGTGTATACTCTGGTTTTCTTGACATCACCTGGAAGAATACAGCTTGGCCAAGTAATCCCATGGGCCAATTTTGCCTTTAGATCTGAATGTCACTAAAGGAGATTACATTCAAAGGTCAGTTAAGTACAGTTTTGTTTTGTTTTGTTTTTTTAAGTAAAACATTTAAACATAGCAATTAGCCCTGATTAAAAAAAAAATATATCTGGAGCTTCAATTTAGTTGGCTTGGGGTGGGGACAACAAAAAGACATGGTTAAATTTTTTTTCCCCAGGCTAAGATTTGCTCCGTTGTTAATCCACCTTCCTTCAATACTTCCTTTCACTGTGAACCCCAAAGCATGCCCCTCCTAACAGCTGCTGGCCACAGAAAGAATCGATAGTGATTTCCCGAGCCTTCCCAACTGTGTGTTATCCAGATGGAGGGCCCAGTAAGTTCTCTCCCAGCTCACTGTAAGATTCTGTCTCTTAATCTTCTAGTTCCTCTTTGCCTCCTGGCTTGCTTTTCCTTTCTTACAGCAAGGATTACTTTTCAATTCAGTGTATACACAAAGGGAAGTATTAAACAGTTCTTTGTATATACCTTATAGATACAGATCAGCTTCCATTTGAATTTGTCAAGCCGCCTTTGATGCTGAAATGAACACACATGTCAAGAGTTTGCAAAGGGCAGGTGAGACTCCCATGGCTTCTTAGTGAATTATGGTTATTTTTATGATTGAAAAGATGTCATTATGATTAATATAGTGTTTCTCTATGAGATCTCTTTTAACAACAAACCTTAATCTTTATTAACATTTAGTTGGGAATTATATTGCTTATATTTCATTTGGTCCAAGAGTTCGTGAGATGTGTTCCTGGGGCTGGAGAGATGGGTCAGTGGTTAAGAGATGTGTTCCTTTGGGTCTACAATTTATGGCATAAATGTCATCAAGCTTACACTTATGAGTAGAAGAGCTAGCCTAAGGTGCAAGTTTAGAAAATGATGTGTAACAGGCATTGAAATTTAAGAGCTCTGGAGTTGAGGGTGGAGCGATAATGGAAAGAAACATTCAGAAAATTAGTAATTATCAATTCATGCTCCCGTGGTTTTCTCTTGAGATTTCCTGAGCAGCCTCACATATCATAGTGCAACAACTGCGGGGAGTCACTACTGCGCCTATTTCTTCTCAAGCAAAAATTAGATGCTTCTAGAATATATATATATGTGTGTATATACACTGAACAGCACTTAGTAGTCCACTCTTTCAAACACTAGAATTTGCATTTCTATAAATATATTTAAATAATAAACATAGATGTCTATTCACACCATATGACACATTAAACATACAAAAATAAAATTATCCTGTTTAACTGGTTTTTGTTGTTGTTTTGTTGGTCTGGGTTCTTTTCTAAGTTGAGAACAATTCAGAAAGGACTTCGTGAATTTGGATCATCCCAGAAAAACCGGACATCGGTTCATACTGGGTTCGGGTACTACAGCCAGGGATGAGCATCACGTAGCATTGCTTGCAGTGGGTATCACTCTCCCACCACTGTTGAGAAGAGCATGGGGTGTAGGACAAAGATCTGCCATTGTCATGTGATAGTCTGTCTCCTAGACATTGAGGAAGAGACACATTAATCCCATCCCCCACGCTAGGCAAAGCATGAACATATGAAGCTGTCCTTTGTGGGGAACAGAAAGCACCCCACCAGGCCATACTCTCCAAATAAGCTCTCAACAGGTAGAAAAGGCTCGACTCTCTGCACCAAGGTTAGGAAGAGCCTGTGTGCCACAAATACCGACATGTGTCTGGTCCAGTAGCGACTGGGAGAAAACTGTCTCCACTTGAAATGTCTCTGCAGAACTCTGCTGCTTACCAAGGGGCTTCTCTTGCAAACAGAACAGGTCAATGAATTGTCATCCCTAGTAAAGCTGGGCCTTCTGTTTACATCAGGTTGTAATTCTCTTGAAAGCAAAGGAGGGGACTGCCCCTTCACATCCCACCTGGAGCCTAGCATCTCTGCCAGCTGCCGGTAGAACACAGAAGATACACCTGCTCGGATGAACGCCATCCTTCCATGCTGGTGAATGCAACAGCTGGGAGCCAGGACTCCCACTACAGCAGAACTGGCTTCACCTCAGTTGCATCCTTGGGAGGGAGGGATGATGTGTCAGGAACTTGGTTAGGGGTTTCCTTGTAAGAAGAATGGATGCCCTTGCAGCATCTTGTAGGTTGCACAGTATCATGGAGGGAGAGGAGTTCCTGGTATCTGCTCAAAGAGAATTTTCCACACAGTCAGAAGAGGTGGGGTCCTTGATTTCCTGAGGGGTGTCTTCAAGGTCCTGAGGTGCCTGCTGCTGGTAGATGTCCTGGATCAGCAAGGTGTTCATGACCTTCCACTCTCTGTACTTCCTGGCTGTCAGCTTTGGGTCATCCAGCAGCTGGTTGATCATGGCCAGGTCGTGTTCTTTGCACTGGCCAAGAAGAAAAGAGGAAGGAAAGGGGCATCCGTCAGTGCGTGAGGATCTGAACTTCGGTGAGTCACCCTCCTCAGCCCTTTCACGGACACAGGGACTGACCCATCCTCCACAACACTGCCAGAGAACTGTTGCACAATAATGCACTAATATTCTCATCTTTCAGCATGCCTGAGGTCGGCACAAAGACTCTTCACATGTGGGAGGTACCAGGAAGCTGTGTGTGTGTGTGTGTGTGTGTGTGTGTGTGTGTGTGTGTGTTCACACCCAAGTTAGTGAAAGAACCAGACAGTCTATCTTCTATGCTGTTCCTCCTTCATCCATCTATTATCGCACACCACAAAGGTGACTCCATCTTAGTGCTAGCTACCTCCTGAAACTGTGTGTCTTGTATGCAATGCACCTCATTGACCATCTAAACTTCACTAAGTAAAACTGGACCATAACACTTCACCTGAGACATAAGGTAACAAAAAATGTTTCTTTTCAATCTTTGTAGATTTTAATTTTAGAAAGCCATATTCTATGAACACACATATTTATATATTAAAAACTATGGTTTGCCTTTTGTTCAAAGATAAGACCCCTAAACAGCAAAACAGCATGTATGCCAATACAAAATAACCTATTGGTGCTGTTCCTCCAGCTTCATCGACAATTAATCATTCACATTTTAAGTAAAAGGATAGAGTAAAAATGCAATCAGCATCCACAGAAAGTGGATCATGGTGCCCTAAAACTTTTGGGTTTGGGATGGGACTGGCTGGCACTGAGACGGATTACTAGGGATTAAAGGGTTTATTAGAAGACTTGTTAACACCACGGAGAGACAGACAGAGGTACAATTGCATAACAGGCATTCCAGCAGCACCAGAGAGACAGTTTGGTAGGAGTCGGAGTCTTTTCTTATAGCTCTCCGAGGACAGGGTTGGTCTCAGCAGGAGGCTGTAGCCAGGCCATGATTCCTAGGTAGAAGGCTGTGAAGGGGTGGGAAACGGGATTTATATGGCGCCCATAGCCCCAAGATTGCCAATACCAGCTTTGACGTTACGTCACTTCCCAGGTGAGAAAACTTGTCTGTTCACCAGGGCCTGTAATGTCCCAGTAGGGTGTCTGTTGGTAGCTATAAGAAAAAGCCTAAGCAGAGGCTTTGTTCTAACATACATATTATATATGTATATATAATTTTATCATAAATGGGTTTTCTCCATCTCTAGAACCATGGTGCTAACTAGGTGTGTGCAGTCCAATCTGTCACACTGGCCCAGTGCTCCTCCAGCCTGCCAGGAACCTGTCACCTCTGATCTTCTACTTTAAATCCACATTCTGTATAGAAAGGCTGGGAATCTCCTACATGCTGACTCCTTGTCCTCACTTCCCTCAACATGCAAGGCTCTCAAGAACCTTAGCAGGAGGGAACAGGAGCTCCACAAGGAGAGCAACAGAACCAAAAAATCTGGGCACAGGGGTCTTTTCTGAGACTGACACTCCAACCAAGGACCATGCATGGAGATAACCTAGAACCTCAGCACACATGTAGCCCATGGCAGCTCAGTCTCCAAATGGGCATCCTAGTAAGGGGAACAGGGACTGTCTCTGACATGAACTCAGTGGCTGGAATTTCATCACTTCCCACTGAGGGGGAAACAGCCTTACCAGGCCATAGAGGAGGACAATGCAGACAGTCCTAATGAGACCTGATAGGCTAGGGTCAGATGAGGAGGAGGATGTCCCCTATCAGTGGACTAGGGAAGGAACATGTGAAAAGAGGGAGGGAAAGCAGGATTGGGAGGGGCCAAAGGAAGAGGCTAAGGCTGGGATACAAAGTGAATAAATTGTAATAAATTTCAAAAATTGAAAAAAAAAAAAACAGCTCCATTTGCTGGTCCTCCAGCTGCCATGCTGCTTCCCAGTATTGGCCCAAATTTTCTCAACTGCACAATGCTGATTTTCAACTCCAAAATTCTGAGCTACATGGAGTACCTTCCTCTACAACTCCTTAGCTTGTATTTACTGCCAGCTATCAAATTCAGCGGAGAACTGATCCCACAACTTGAACCAAACAACCTTATTTTCATGCTCTCTTGCCATCTGGTGCAGAGCCTAGAATTCACTGAAGTCTACTTAGACATCTGTCCCAAAGCCTAAAGGGGGCTGGAGAGATGGCACTATGGGTAATGGCACCTTGCTGTGTAATTTTGAGGATCTGTGTGCTGGGTAGTTTTATGTCAACTTGGCACAAACTAGTTATTAGAGAGAGATCGTGATTAATAAAAATACTTCCCTAAGATCAGGCTTACAAGTCCAGAGAGCATTTTCTTAATTAGTGGCTGATACAGGAGGGCCCAGTCCACAGGTGGAGCCATTTCTGGACCTGTGGTTCTGGGTTCTATAAGAAACATCGAGCAAGCCCTGGGGAGCAAGCCAGTAAGTGGAACTCCTTCATAGACTCTGTATCATATCAGTTCCTGCCTCAAGGTTCCTGCCCTGTGAGTTCCTGTCCTGATTTCCCAGGGATATGGAAGTGTAAGCAGAATAAATCCTTTCTTTTCAAGTTGCTTTTGGTCATGGTGTTTCATCACAACAGTGTCAACCCTAAGACAGTGTGAGTCTGAATCACCAGCACCCACAGGAAAGGACAGTTGCATGCCTGTAAACCTCAGCATTGCAGTACAGGCAGAGAGGGGTGGGCCTGAAGAGCTCCTTACATGTTCAGCCTCACAGAAAGGCCCCTTCTGAGCCAATGACTGGCTCTGTCTCAGGGCAAAAGGTGAAAGGTGATGGAGGAAGACACCCCGCTTCTTCATCTGGCCTCCACGTGTGTATGCATGAGTGACCCACATATTCACATGCATGCAACACACACACACATACACATATACCACACACACACACACACACACACACACACACACTTACACAATTAGTTAATTACCCAGGCCTAATGAAGATGACAGAAAATACATTTTCTCCATCCTTATATTCTTGGCTCATACCACAATGCAAATTGCCATGCAGACAGTCCCTATTCACCACTGGACTCATCTCTGCCCACTCCTCAGGGAAGCATATTCATAGTCCAAATCTCACAGTCATGCTCACTGCTCTCATTTTCAAGAACTGATGCAGAGGACACAGAGGACTTCTGCTTACAATCATTATTCTCATCCTGAAAGTCAGTAGGCCACACTTCTGTCTTCCCCTTCTGAACTGTAAGCCCCAAGAAGAATGGCATTTTTGCCTGACAGGACCACTGGCCTGCCATGCCTGACAGAATTACTGACATGCAGTACACGTTCTTGGAATACTCATTTACAACCAGGCTATATACTACCATAAAGAAGCATGGAATCCTGTCACCTGAGGCATAGAACTAGAAAGCCTTGGGTTAAGTGAAAACAGCAAATAAAGAAACACAGGCATTCCATGAGTTTTCCTCATATATAAAAACCATCAAGAAATCAACATGAAGGTAAAAGAGCAATTGCTAAGGACTGAGAAGGGTAATAGGGAGGAGGGACGACCAGGGAACAAGAGCAGGAAGGCGATGGCCGTGGTGAAAGCATAGGGTATGGATGGGAAGAACATCACATAGTACAGAACCATGATGTGTTGACAATAAAAGAGCTGTCCTCCTAATCTCCAAGGAGAGAAAGGGTGAGAGGAAGCTCAGAAAGAGCCATCCTGTAATCACAATCTATATTCTTTCACTCTCCATCTCTCCAAATTACTATTGTAAACTTCCCCAGGTTGGAAGAAAGCTCAGTGGATAGAGAAGGACCAACCACACAAGCAGGAAGACCCGAGTTTGCACCCCAGACCCCATAGAAAGCCAGGCATGATAGCACATGACTACAGTGCTGTAATCCTGGTGCTCCTACAGTGAGGTGGGAAGCTGATGGGGAGAGGACTTGGGAGTTAGCAGGCCAGCTAACCTGGAAAAGATGGGGGAAAAAAAAAAAACAGGGACCTGTCTCAAGATGGAGGGTGAAGACTAACACACAAGGTCATCTGCTGACCTCTACATAGGCACTGCTGTACACACATGCTCACACTCTCACACACACAAACACACACACACACACACACACACACACACACACATACGAAAAGGACAAAGTCCTTCTCATTATACTTCAAGCTTCTTCCCCATTACTCGTAACCAATAACTTTATTCTGGATTTTTGGAAGAAATGAAAGCAAACAGAAAAGCACTCCCTAGCTTCCATTTCCCACAATCCACATCACCAAGAACATGCTGCCTGCCTTCCTGTTTGTGCAGACGAAAGAAAGGTCTGTGCTGAGCACAGGCTCCCCTCTTCGCTTGGAAGAAAGGTCTGTACTGAGCACAGGCTCCCCTCTTCACTTTGGCACCATGGCCTCTGTTCTCATGATCCGGACGTCCTCCTATGACTGTCTCCCATCGACCCTGGAGCACCCTCACATCCTCATGCATGTGCCCCATTATGTCTTCCACCTTGAAAGTTCTTTCTGACCCCACCTCCATCCAGCTCAGGCTCCTCCACTCTCTTCCTTGTCCTCGGTGACCTTAGAACAATTCCTTTACAGTCTACCCTCTGTCCTGCCAGGCCCTCATCCCTACCACTCCAACAAATCTTCTCCAGGGATGGTAGTCAATAGCCTCCATGTCAGCTCACCCAACAGTTAATTATCCATCTTCATATTCATCAGAATAGCTAAAACTTCCAGCCACCACTCCACCTTGAATATGTCTGTCTGCTTGCTTCTATAATTCATTCTCTTGATTTTCCTCATCCCTTAATCATCGCTTTGCTGGTTCTTCATTACTTAAACTCTTGACACTGAAGTTTTCAAGAGTGCCATATGTCAAAGTAACTTTTATTTTCCTGTTTTAGTTGCCAGCTTGTAGGATTATTGCCTTTGTCTGCTAATCTATGCCTATTCCTGGAAACTTCTGGCCTCCATACAATCTAATCTAGGTCTAGAATGTTTTCAGCCTCTGAGACTTACTGCTGAATAAGCTCACCCATTCTTGTTCTCTCTGAACTCTTGCTGGCTGGTTCAACTCAGCTGTTCTGGCTCAAACTCCTCTCCCAGATGACTTATTCAACCTTGCTTTTCTCAGCTTCTCTGAATTTCTCTGCTGGGCCTCATACTAACTCCAGCAACCTGTTCTAATCTTCTGGCTCCTTCTCATACTCTGCCTCGTTCTCTCTTTGGTACAATGAGCTGTGAGGAACTGCATCCTTCCAACTCCAACGTGGGAACTGAGAAGCAGACATTCCCCAGTGGAGAAGTGGACAGCCTGGAGGACACCTTGATCTCACACTAAAATCTAATGGAAAAACCCCATGCCCAAGCCATGCCCAGACCGGGATCCACAGAAATTCTAAAGGACAAATGCTTCTTACTTAAAGCTCCTGAGCTTCAGGGCAGTTAGTTAACTAGGGATGAAGAGTTGCTCTACCGGGAGGAAAGAAGTGACTGAAGTCACCCATTACAGAACCAAACCATGAAGAGCAAGAAGCCATGGGAGACCAGAGAGGCTGGTAAACGTCGTCCATCTTTTGATCAGCCAGTTCAGGGTGTTATCAAGGTCTAGAATATTGAATCCACAGCTCTGTGGGATCCAGGGTGACAGTCTTCCTCCTAGAATGTCCTGAGTTACCCATAACCCCAATGGCCTCTACTTCCTGTTGCTCCCAACCTGAACCAAAGCAGATCACCCCATTAGATGTACTCTCTCCCTGAAGGCCTTTCCCTCCTCCTCCCTTACTCATGCAGCAGCTGTCAGCTAAGTATAAGAACTGGACAGCCAGTTGCTTCCATTCTCTGGGTTGTTAGGGCCCCCAAAGCTTGCACACACTACAGTTCTTATTGTGCTCCATTTTAACCACCTGTTTCCTACCTCCATTGTCCTGGGCATCCCACTCATGGTCATAGTGACCCAAGATGGTGCTTGGTGCATGGCAATATTCAGGAAATAACTCTCCAGTGAAAAAAAGTCATTCATCCCACAAAACAGTAAATTCTCAATATTCTCTAGTATCTTACACTCAACAGCCCAACACCTTAATCAGCTCTGCACACACCACAAAAATTAATTAAAAGCATTTTTTCATCATTAACTCTTAGGGAATTTCTGTGAATTTGGAGTTTCTCTGTAGAACTGAGCCATTCTTTTCCTTGTTCTTCCCAGCCTTGTTTTGCTGCTTTCTGTGGTACTTGGCTTTTCTCTTGACTAATTAGGATGTCTGACTCAGCTATCCCAGTATTGTCCTAATGATTGCTGATACTTCTTCCTGGAAAAGGTCTCAAAATTTTTACCATGAAATGACATGTGCACTTCAGAATTAAATTGCAGGATCTAGCAAGGCTGTTCAGAACTTATGAGTCTTCAGTGAATTTAGCTTGATTTTACAGAGTATCCTGCCCTCTTTCTGCTGATACTACAGTCTAAATGTAAAAGTAAGATGCTCCTGTTATGAGGAACCTTTTGTTATGGGAAATCTCTGAAAATAGCTTCAGTGTGTCCTGTAACTGTCCCCCATCCCCATGTGACATCTGCTGGTTTATTACCACAGAATGTATGCCTTCCGCTGTCTGGCTCTCACCATGCTTCTTGGCTGTAGTGCCTAGAGCTGACAAATTAAATAATATTCTCCTGGCTGGGTGGTGTGGTGGTGCATGCCTTTAATGCCAGCACTCAGGAGGCAGAGCAGGTGAGTCTCTGAGTTTGAGGACAGCCTGGTCTACAGAGTGAGTTCCAGAACAGCCAGGGCTCTTGATCTAGCAGCACACAGGATGATGCTCTCGAATGAGTCAGGTGACACCCTTATTTCTATTACTGCTTGTTTTTGCCAAAGGATGCTCTCTCTTGCTATATCAGCAAACGATTCTAAGAGCCAGTGATGGTAGATGTCTGAAGAGAAATAATACTTTCTAGACATAAATACTTAAACTAACAGTGACTGGACTCTATACATAAGACCCAAACAAGATCAAGCTCAGCCCAAATCCCTTCATGGGCCCCCTGTGGAGAGGGGCTCCACCCTTAACAGAAAAGATATAGGCAACTGATGACGATGGGGAGGCAGAGTAAGTTTACTGCAGGGATATGGCCCTTGAGAGGCCATGGTTGGTGGTCCAACTCCATGGATATACAGGCAACACTAAGTGGAGTTGGTGGATTTTAAGACAGGAGACAGAAAGAGCATATGAGGTTGACTGAAAAAAAAAGTGGTAGTCAGAGACAAATAGGGAAGGTGGGTGGATCTGATGAAAATATAGTATGTGCACATATAAGATTCTCAAACAATACAAATTTTGAGCCAAGTATTGTGCTAGACACAAAATTACAAAACCAAATTACACACAGTCCTCGCCATCTGGGATTTGGGAATTCAAACATTACATCAAAGTAAATGTAAAATTGAAGCTTGTTATGTGCGGAGGCTGCTGTGTGAGTGACCTGGTGCCTTTAAAAGGTCACAGCCATTGCACCGTAAGGATGCTAACCTTCCCTGTTCTTCCCTTCCACACAAGCACCCTAAGGTGGCCACGAATCTCTGCACAGCCAGCCATTCCCTGCCAACCCCACTTCCAACCTCCCAGGTGGCACAGTCTGAGACCACCTTACCTTTAATGTGCTATTCAAGGTCCTGATCTTATGAAGCTTCTCATTTATGGATGGGTTTTTGCATCGCTTCACAAATGACTTCCTCAGCTCCTTCTTGGTTGAAGGTCGCCGGTCCCCGAGAGGAGACAGACTAGCTTGTTCCAATGATTTGTACAGTTTCTCCATCTCATCATCTTCAGACGCTTTTATTTCTTCTGTTTAAAAAGATCAGTATCAGTTAAAATCAAAGAGCGAACATCAGACAAGGTGGTCCTAAAGCATTCCTGTCCACACCTTCATGTCATACTTCTGGTCTCCGGAAGTGTAGGGCAGTGACTTTCTAATGTCTAATCACTCATACCATACTACTTTTTTACTTAGGAGACTATGAACCATTTAATTACGTATGATTGTAGTGTATCCTAGTAAGGCCACACACTGACCTAGTGTGTGGAGACTTTGGGGGTACAGTACAGGACTTCAATATTACGAATTTTTGTGGTATACAATTCAGTCCACTACAAGCCCCTACAAATTCCTATCCTTTGCACACACACAAAATACATGCATCTCATTTCAATACCTCCCAAAGTCTTAAATCATTTCGACATCAACTCTGAGATCAGTTTCACATCCAAGTATCCTCCAAGTTAGATGTCGAAAGAACCAGAGATAATTCATCTAGGTGCAAAATTCCTCTCCATTTCTGAACCTATGAAATACCAGTCACCTCACAGGCAAGCACTGCAGGCCAATGTTTACCACAAACTCTGAACCTACTGCCGTAGGGACCTTCCCAGTGCTTTCTGAGGACGAAGCCTGAGCTGGCTGATTGTAGAAAGACAGCGTAACTCACCCTGCCCCAACACTATCCCCTTTTAACCACATCTATTCAGCCTCAGCCCACTAGAGTCTAGAGAGTACTGAGCCTCTGGAAACTACCAAGGCACATGGCTCAGGCAGGCCAGTGAGGGCCAGGAAGACTCAGTCTTGGAGTATGTGTTTTTGATGCTTTCTACTTAAAAACAAAACAAAACAAAAAAAACTAAGTATGTTGGTATGTGGGCTAGAAGTTTCCAGGAGTCGTTCTAAGAATTAGAATGATGCTAGTGTCCTCCTGTTGCCCTCCTAATCTAAGGGGCCAATGTTCCCCACTGTGGGGCTACATTGGGTAGGACTTCCATGTTTAGAGGGACCTAAAGTGAGAGTAGCAGCACCTGAAGGAAATACTGACTCTTTGTGTGGCTTTATTTCTCATAGAGAATCTCAACTCACTGTTCCTTTGTTTCCTGAAAACAACCTTGGGACATACACACAGTGAGTGTTCTTCTCCCTATACATGCCTCAGGGTTTACGTCCTTTGTCCAGTGGTGGGGAAAAGCTTCAGAAGGGGCCCTGTGAACAACGTGATCACGGAGGGGGTGAACAAAACAGGCTCTGAGGCAGACACATAGGATAATGTAGGGACACCAGATCCCAGAACTCCAGTCACATCACATACTCTATGATTAGAAATCCTTACAAATTAGCTTTTGCCCATTTACCTCAGACAGTTGCTATGAGTTGTCCTCAGCACCTTCCCTAAGAGGAAGATCAAAATGTTTCTAACACCTGGCTTAAAGGGTTAACCAGAACTACATTTTTTCTTTTGTTTGAGACAAGGTCTCACTATATAGCCTTGACAAGCTAGAACTGGCTATATAGACCAGGCTGTCCTATAACTCACCAAGATTAGCCTACCTCTACCTCCTGGGTGCAAACATTAAGACAATTCAGCACCACTCCTGGTCCAGAGCAACTTCTTCTGTCTTAATCAAATGGAATCAAAAGGGGAGAAAAATGTAGAAAAATATATATATGAAGATAGACTTTTAGCCTCAGACATTGTGCCATCATGTGTCAGCTTTTGTCAATAAACTCAAGAAAAGATTCTCCCATCATTAATCATTAGAGAAACGAAAACCAGTACCACAGGGGGGAAGTCCTGTTGTGTATTGGAATTGCTAATGAAAAGACAGACAGTAGTTAAAGCATGGCCGAGGATGTAGAGAGATGGAATGTCTCTCATTCACTACTAGTGGGAATGAAAAGCAAGCCACCACGTTAGAAAATAGGATGATAGTCCTCAGGATGGCACAATGACAATAGAACCCTGCAGTTCTACCTCTATGTTTATGTTTAAGAGAAATAATAAAAAATGCTCCCACATCAGTTGAACGTGACTACTCATAGCAATGTTATTCATAAGAAAAAAGGAGGAGAACATAAGTAATATTTATCTATAGATAAATGGATAGAGGGAATATGGGGTGTGCACACTGGAGCAATAGACATCAACTTAAAGAAACAAAATGTTAAATCACCCACAGTGTTACAACATGGATGAAACTTGGAATCATCGTTTAAAAAAAAATAGTCACAAAAGATCACAGATCCTATGATTCTATCATATGAAATATCCAGAACAAGCGAACTCAAGGAGACAAATATCCCCCTGGAATGCTGAGGACACAGACAGGAACAAGGGCATGCCTGCAATGCAGAGGGCTTTCTATTTATGGGGCTGAATGTCCTCTAGTCTCATGGTCGTGATGGCTGCCCAGTGCTGTGAGCACACCACAAACCACCGAACCGTAAATCGGAAGCAAGGTGAGTTATCAACAGAGTGGTAAACGCCTGACATAGGCCTTTATGAGATATCATGATGGCAGATGATGTGCTCACAGAAAAACTCTAAGTCCCAGAGGTAATCTGAGCATGGTATGACGTCTTTAAAAACTAAATGGAGCCAAACACTGTGATCCTAGCAGCTGTGAAGTAGAGAAGAGACAAATATCAAATTCAAGGTCCATATGGGCTATACAGCAAGATCTTATTTCAGAGGCAAAGACATACAACTCATAAAGAAGCGCTGGGGTTGGGAACTTGCCACAAACATAGGGAAACATGCCCTCTCTTCTTTTCCTTTCTCTCTCTCTCTCTCTCTCTCTCTCTCTCTCTCTCTCTCTCTGAGACAGGGTTTCCCTGTATAGCCTTGGCTGTCCTGGACTTGATTTGTACACCAGGCTGGCCTTGAACTCAGAGATCTGCCTGCCTCTGCCTCCCTGAGTGCCGGGATTAAAGGCATATGTCACCACAGCCAGTTATCTGTTCATAACTAATCAGGCAGTTTTCTATCTAAAAACCCCTACTTATATTTATTTCATAAACAACATCTATACAACAAACTTTAAGAAACAAACGAATGTGTGAAAAGCTAAATGAAAATTGTTTCACTGAAACTCCTTGTACTCATCAGGCAGAAGTTACTGAAGACAAAGCTACATTTGCTTTCTACTACTGTATCAAGTGTCAGATTATGCCAGGGTAAAATTATAGTAAGATAATCCATCTGCTTCAACAGATACCAAATCAGTAAAGATAAAAATAACCATAAAGGCATAGAGTGTTTCCTCCAGGTTTAAAAAAAATAGGATTTCCTTTTTGTGATAATTTTTATTAGTTTTAATATACCTATATAAAATATATAATCTTTATGTTAAAAATTTCAGAAGCTGTATCTGCCCCCCATACACACACACACAGTTTTCTTCCCTAGCTTAAACTTTGGGTCATTAGTCATGAAGATATTAATAAGTTTATTACTGTGTGTGTGTATTTTTCTTTGTGTGTGTGTGTGTGTGTGTGTGCTTAATTTGTTTCTCCAATGTAACTAGTTTTCAAATCAACCCTGGTAAAATAAAGCAAGCCTATCAGGTTCACTAAAAGATATATACTCTCTGCTTCAATCCATCTAGAAGCAAGAGCCCAGAAAGGAGTGGGTGTGTCTAGTTAAAGACCACCTGGAAAAGAAAAACAAATCAGCAATCTGGTTCTTCTTCCTCAGAAGAAACCAGAACCTGGAAGACTACTGGCTGACCTCTAATAACACAATTCTGAAATCATTCACAAACTTAAGGAAAACAAAATAACAGACAGAAAGGGTAGAAGTAAAAAAAAAAAAAAAAAACTCATTGGCTTTCCTGTATGTCCTAACCTAGCAGATGTACAGTAGATACGGGGGACACAACTGTGACTCAACCAAGTCCACAACCCAGACAGGAGATTTGTATTGTTTTTACTTATATTTTTATTGATACTTGCATCTAGTGCTTAGGTCTTTGTGAGACCATAAACTGAACATCCAATAACAATAGAAGCAGATAATAAATGAAAATATAGCATGAAGGGGGACCCACGGGTACACATGCACAGCAATACAGCTGGCTGCTGACCACAAAGCAGGGGAGAGAGAAACCCTGGCCCAGTGTGCCTGCCTTAGCTCTGCTGAGTCCCAGCTCGGGAACCACTGCACCATGACCCGAGTGGCCACTGTGTGAGCTCAAGCTTTGCCACAAGTAAGCCTCTCTGGGTTAGTCTTTTGTTTAACCTTTTTTTAATGTTTGTTTATTTTATTCCGTGAGTGTTGTGCCTGCATGTATGTATATGCCCATGTTTATGTGCATGCATGCCTGGTGCCAGCACAGGTCAGAAGGCAACAGATCCTCTGGGTCTGGAGTTGGAGGCAGTTGTAAGCCACCATGTGAACGCTGGAAACCTAACCCAGGTCCTCCGCAAGAGAACAAGCACTCTGTACCACCAAGCTGTCTCTCCAGCCCTTCCATGTCAGTCTTGTTCTGTGAGTAGAATAATCTTAGTAGATTCTGTAGACATGCAGCTCTTTTCTGAATCACAATTTCATTCTAGAAAGCACTAATTTATCTTTCTTGTCTTACCAGATTGCAAAGATGAAGATGAAAGGGTTGGCAGAAAGACCCCTCATCTCTCTTCCACTGGAAATGGAAGCCAAGTGAGTTATTTCTACCTCCCTATTCCCCGAGACAAAACAAATAAAATTTGAGAGTGAAGTTTCTCCTCTCAAGTGTGTATTTCAGTCTTCCCACGTGAGACTGTGGAACTTCAATTCCCATTGACACATGAGCAGCTTATAGTCTATTATCTCTCAACCCGCCGGTGCCTGCTCAAGGCTGAAGGCGTTATTTCAGGGCTGAGGAAAGTGGAGAGTCTTGTGATTCTTTTTCCCCAAATGCCAATTAGTGATGGGTACTAAAAATAAAATTCCATTCTGTTCAGGCCCATGTGTTTCCAGATCATTCTTCACAAATGTGAACAGGAAAACAGTGTCCAAGGGAATTTAGTCAAATGCAGGTTCTGC